GACATTGTGATTTGGTCGAAGGCGCCTGGTTTAGTGCTGTAATTGTCTTTATTTTTTATATATATATATATTTCTTGGAGTAAACATTTTAAATAAACGGCATCATTGTTTAAAAAAAAATAAATAAAAAAAATAAAAAAAATAAAAACATACCAGAAGGATAAAATTGGATTTCAGAATACTAGAAGTTGGAAAAGAGGAAAATTTGGGGAAAAAAGCAAGTAATACATTGAAACCTGTATGTATAGCTTCTTGATGAGAGTATTTACCAAGGAGGAGTTTTTGAGCAAACTCTTCCTTGGTAAAATTGACCAAGTTGAGAAGAATGTAAATTTCCTGATAGGTACACTTAACATCTTATCCTCATTGATAACAATTTGTAAATTTCATTTTCTCACAGGCAAAGCAACTTGTAGTGTGATATTTAGCTCATAAAAATAGAGTTAATTTTTGTCTTTTTTTTTTTTTTTTACAACCTTTTCTGTCTTCCCATTTAAGTACTTTACAGAGTCCATTTTGTTTCCCTAATTTACTCATGGTCTCAAAGATCTGAGGTACAGATGGGCCATGGAGAGGCTACAGAAGTCTGACCCAGGGATCCTGGTGGTCTAGGCCAGCTTGATAAAGGAAAGAGGTAGCATCTTGTATCATTTTTTCCTGGGCATCACCTGCATCATTTTAAGTCCCTTTGGTACTATATAGCTCTACAACTGTTCAAATTTCTCCAAAATATTCCTAACAAGTACATTCCCAGATATGACACAGTGTAAGAAGTATGAAGGAGTATAGCACAAAATGAAGAAAACTGCTCCTAAATTTAATATATTCACTTCTCTTCTTTATCTACCTCAGTAGGGATTGCATGTATATCTAAACAATGTAAAGAATACAAAGTATCTGTACTAAGAAAAGATATTCTTAGCCTATTGCTAATTTGATACAAGAAAAATTGGAATGGGGATAAAAGTGAATTTAAGAAACACTCCATTATGACTTACATCTACATGTCTTCCCAAAGCCTCATGAAGCCTCACAGGTGGGGCTTTCTCGCACGTGGCTGGATCTAGAGTGTGTAATGCTGAGATTGATTCACAGCGCAAGGCTAGGCTCAAGGGCACCAGGATTGAGGCTATGAGTGCTACCTGCCCCAAGTAGTCTGGATAAAAGGGGCAGAAAGATGCTGATGAGGTCCCTTGTTGTTTTTGTTACCTTCTGCCTACTATAAACTGTCACTCCTTTGCCATGGCCACCCTACCTTGGTGCAAGCTGATCATGAACTAAAATTTCTAAAAACTATGACAAATGCTTATTTCCTTCTTGAACTCTGGAAGTTGGGTACTTTATCTCAGCAATGAGAAAAGTAACAAAGACAGATTCATACATACAAATATAAATGTGGGTCTTGAAAAATTTTAATCAGAATTTGCAGTCACATAGGCTAGGTGGTTACTGAAAGCTATCTGTGAAACTTCTTTAGCAATCCCAAAGAGTTAATACACTCTATCATACTTGTTCCCTTGCCCTCAAGATGATATGTGAAAAGTTTGGGTGAATTTTAACATGCATTCTCAATGACAACTAGGAATCTAGAAAGTCTTTTAAAATCTCTCTCTAGAAGATTTGTCCTAAAATATATTCTCTGGAGCATACTCCAGTGACCCAGTTTTGTGACATGAAGCTGGGGCATATCTGGGTGCTGGCTGCTCTGGAAAGTTCCCAGGTAAGGAATTCAGGCCATCCAATTAGGACACTTCTAGGTTATCTGAAATTTAAAGATGGATTGGTTTTATCTCATTAGTCTTCTTCGTATCTCAATAAGTAGATTTTGTACAACATAAAGAATAAAGTATAAATGTTTGGCTAAATTGGCTAATATTGAGGCTCATTCCTTGCATTTTTGGTAACTATTTTAACTTTAAAATACTGATGCTTCCCTCATAATAGGAAAGCTTAATGGAGTCTAGAGGGCCTGATTATAATAGTGACCAGAAATGGACTCCATGGAATTAACTATACTTTTCCAAGAGAAGACATGCTAGATACAGGACCAGATGTAGGGCACATTTATGCATCGCTCTTTCTAGGATAGAAATATTTAATATGGGGCTAGAGAGATAGCTCAGCAGCATAAGTGCCTGCCTGGCAAGTTCAAGGTCCTGAGTTTGATCCCCATTACAAAAATTAAAAAGTATCTAATATGAAATATACACAGTGCATGCTAGATGAGCCTTTTCTGCTCATTAGTTAGCATTTTCTTCTGGCACTTCTGGGCAAGCAGCAATAGCAAGTATAGCCTTCACTCAAGTATGACAAAACAAGCGTTTGTCTGGAGGACAAAGTTCATTCAGAAGTAAATAACTATTTCAGGAAGGAGAGGAGAAGGGGCCAAGAGATGACTGGTTACTGAATCAGACAGAAGAAGAAAATATCACAAGAAAACATACAATTCAATAATCTTGTACTATGATATCTTTTTTTTTTTTT